TTCTCTACAAAAGCAGCTTAAGTTTTCTTAGTCAAGATACAGCGCATTAAACCATGATTAACTTATCTCAACTTTCCTTAGCACTAGCAGACAAAGCAAGAGCAATTTGATTAAAGGCGATAAACATGGGTGACCACTAATTTTCCACCAGGACAGTAAAGGGATACTGAATCATCTGATATTAAGGTCAAGCATGAGTTTTACATGCAGTGACATCAAACTGTAAAAACAATATCTACTGTTATAGAATTTAGCAACTCAGTACCCTAACTGCCACAAAGAAAAAGATGCTTCTCTCTCTACATTTCTCCTTTGCTGCACCAAAGACCAGCTCCTAAATAAACAACAAATAGAGAATTAGTTACCAAGACATACTACCTTCATTGTCCTTGATTGTGAAGATCATCTCAGTTCAAAACACTTGGTTTTTACATTTTAATATTCAACTGACTGATCTCTTTGTCACTCAGAGACCAAGAATTGGCTCTAGGGAAACATCAAGTGAAGTCCTTTCTCTTAACAGCATTTTTACCAAGGCATCAAAACACTTACATTTTACCTGCTTTTCAGCCTTGAACAAGATGAACTTTGATTATTCTTTCCTATACCTCATTAAGTGCCAGGCACTCATATGCCGTTATACAGCTAAGAATAATTTGAATACGTATCATCAGAAGCATTTATAGCAGCATACTACTGAACTAAGCAACACTCTTAGGCAGTAGCGATGTTGTCCCCCTTTGATCACATATATTTGTAAACAGAACCCTGTAACTAATCATCTCAACGTTACAAGCGCTGAATACTTCTTTTCCAGCCCTAAGAAAAGGCAGGAATGCATACATTCACCTCCCAGCAGGCACTGCCAGGCCAAAGAGCAGTTACTGAGGTTGCACTGGCACTTCCTCATTATTGAAGGATTCAGGTCTGCTGAATTCAACACTTCAGAGCATGAAGATACCACTGAATAACTTCACACTGTGACAACGAGAATTCTTACTGACTGTTCACGCAACACCTGATCCAAATACAGTTACATGCTTTAGATGCTGACACACTGACTATACAATATTTGAGTACCCTCAGTGCCTCTTGTAAAAGATCATTTACCTCTCCCACCACTTCTAAAATAACCTTATCAGAAATCACTTCTAGTGCTAAATTACTTTTTCCCCACAAAAACACCTATGAGGGTCTGAGTTGTCTGTTCCCAGATTTCCCTAGAAGATAAATCCCCTGTCACAAGAGAAGGATAAAATTTACAGTTTGTTTTCTATCTTATTTCTCTAAAGAACCTCTTTCTCCAGAATGTCCATATTTCCTTCTTTCAGAATTTTCAGGGAGATGGGAGTTCATTTTCAGTGCTGATAAAGCATAGCAAAAGAATACTGAAGTTTACAGATATCAGCCAGGAGCTGCACTATCATGTGCTCCAATTGTCAAGACAGTTCTCTAATTCTAGAGAAGAAATCTAAAAACAAAAAAAAATTAAAGACCAAAATTAAACCAAAATCAACAACTAAAATTGTAAGCATAAAACCACAGTAACTATTTATCACTCAGCACTTTTTGTAAGACACTTACGGCCCATCAGAACAGACAGATGATGCAATTAGGCAAATAAATTCAGGAAACAAGGCATCCAGGTGATCTTTATGTAACAGATAATTGCACATACAATGAAACAATTTATTTCTGTATCTAATTATTTGGCATCTTACAAGAAAGAATAAGGTCCACAACGGAATCCAAATGTCATGCCACCTACTAGGCTTAGCCCACAGACAACCAACCAAGCTCCCCTCTACAGCAAGAGCAAATTATAGATGCTGTTCAAATGCCAGGCTCATAATCTGTAGGAACTGGCAAATTTAGCCTAGAATCCAACTAAAGAGAAAGCTTAGAAACAAACAACTCCCAGAATTTAGCATCGTGTTCAATAAAACATTCCTTTTCATCATTCAGAACTGTATCTACAAGCAGGAACATGGGTTCACATCATCAGTTTGTGTCTGACCTCCTGCTTGCCAGTCCCTTCCCAAGCACTACCCCCTCTAGAATAAAACTGGCTGGCACTGGGAAGCGTCTCACAGCAGAACACCCACCAGGCTGGCACTTAAGGCATTTCTTTTGGAAATGACAGATGTAGGTTTTAAGTTCTCCCAGAAGCTGAAGGATTTGAACCCAAATCTCAACGTACTGCCTAGGTACTCAAACTTACTGCGTTTCCCACTTTAAAGAACAGAAGCATTCCTTGTACAATTCCGCATTACCAACAGTAGCTACTTACTTTCTAATGTAGCTGATGCATTTTTTTCTTCCTACACAGCTTTGTATTAATTACAATTAAACACCCTTGCTGCATAATCATCTCTTTACCTATAGATACACACAGTTTATCATTTCCACTTAAAAACAAAACAACAACAACAAAAAACCAACCAGAAAGCCTACAAATAGCCTCATTTTCAAATAGCCTGGTATATAAACTACTATATAGATAGATATTTACAGCTTTCTTTTTTATAGTTTTTCCTCTTTAGAATTTTAAAATAAAATTTTAAAATAACCAACCTAAAACATTTTATCATATAGCTATACTGAAAGTGCAGGAAGGAGGATGCATAGATAGAACGTCTGCCACAATTGCTGAAAAAATTGAGCCAGATTATAATAAAACATGGTACCAGCATACGCAATGTTAAATCACTGAACACTCCCCTGAGAACAGTTTCTGCACTCACAAGTGTACCAGCAACTATTTGTTCATTAATAGAAGGAAAACAATACAACGGTATTTAATTAATATTTACAAGTAGTTGAGGCTTTCTAATGAATGACCAAAGTTGTAATTATACTACTGTTCCAAAAACCATAATGTCGAGTCCTTCCACAACGCTACCTATTGCATTGAGAAAATTAAAAAAAAAGAAAGAAAATAGAAGCCCGTCACTACAATACTTAAGGATTTTAACCACAGCATATGAATACAAACATGGATCCTGCCACCTAAGAAGTAGCAGATCGCTGCAAATCTTAGCCTACAGCATTCTGAAAGCATAACAGTGTAAAAGAATGCAGTTAATCACAAGTGCAAACTGGAAAAAAAAATGAACAGCTGAAACAGGTAGTCACAACTGTTAATACTTGATGCTAAGAGCCAGTCTTTAGAGACATCCCAACACAACTTACATCTGAAAATTCTGCGGGATTTTTAAAAAAACTGCAGCTTCAAACTCCAGCAAGAGACTTTAATTAAAGAGCACCAAATTGGGTGTTACAAAAACATGGTTACACGTAAAGAAAACAGATCCTTACAAACTTCAGACTACACGAAGTGTTCTGTGTCCACAACCCTCGGTATGACTGGTAACCTCTGCAACCTTGTTTAGTGTTTCTACATCAGGTATTGTTGTGGTAATGAAAGACATCTGACACTCCTCAATAGCCTGAGCAACTACTCCGAATTCCGAAGGAAGTAAATCGGTTGAGTGAAGAAATATTTCCATTTACATCTTCAAGCTCAGTTCTTTTGAAACTAGTTTCAATGAGATCTAGGTAAAGCCACCATCATCTTCTTTGCACCAAGCACTACTGCCCGTAGCCATTCTACAGCACTCAAGGCAACATGAGAAGCACTGGATGTGAAGTCTGGAAGCATTACTTTGAGAAGAGTTAGGTGATCACGTACCAGCACTTAACTCTGCATTATTGTAATAACGGACACGTTAATTAAATTTAACATTCTACTACGCTGGTTCAAAGTGCTGCAATATAAATATTTGATGCCTCATTAATCCACCTACAACACTAACCATTAATTAACCTTTTAACACGTGAAAATACAGAGGGTTTTTTGGACCACAGCATGTTAGAAGACAGTTAATGTGTATAAAACACAGCCGGGCTCAAACGGCAATCAAAACCTACCCCATTTTTAAGAAATTCAGGAAAAGCATCTTGATCCTCCAGAAGAAAGGTCCTTCAAAAGCACAAGAAGCTGCACTCTGAGGCAGAGGGCATTTACAACAACACCAGCACTTTTTAAAAAAGTTTGCCTGCAGACATCCGTATGCCAACACCAATGCAAGTATTTTGTCATAGCCAGTCAGCCACGTAACTAGTTTATGCTCAAGTAACTCCATTGAAGTGGCTTTAAGAATTATCACTCAAAAGCACTAATAGATGCTTCCCCCAGATACATCCCTCATTATGTTTTTTTCCAGGGATCCGTCTTATGGAAGAGATAAGTAAGAAAGTTATTTTAAACAGATACGTCTATGCGCTGTTAAAGCCAGTGGTTTACCAGCCACACTCGGGTTTCGGTGCCGTCCGACTGGAGGAGCTCCCAGTCTCCACGCTCTTTGTTGCCCGCACAGAACGCAGCTCCTCAGTCAGGAGAGCAATGCTGCCACAAGAACGCAATCCGTACGGGCTTTCTGAGCCACTAAAGCTTACAAAACACGCTGGAAGCCGTACCTACAGCACCCGATTCAATCTAACCCCGCAGACCTTTCCAACCCAGCACAGCGCGACGTTCCCACAGGGGCATCACTCCGCAGCGCCGCGCCTCCAGCAGATCAGACGTGCAAGAGAGTTTCCGACCTCGGAACGCGAGCACACGCCTCCTCTCGCACACAGGCCGGGCACTTTCCTCACGGCCTCGGCCCGCCAGCCGGCAGATCCGGGCCAGGGGGCTCCCAGAAGCCGGCCCAGCCCGGCCCAGGCGCCCCCGCGCTCCGTGCGGCCGCCGCGGGCGCCCGCGGCACAGACACCTGTAGCCGCAGCGGCCCCCGCGGGCCGGGCTCCGGGGCCACGGCGCAGCCCGAGCCGGTGGAGAGCGGGGATCGCCGCGGAGCCCTCGAGCTCGGCTCAGCCTCGCCGCCCGCTCGGCCCCGGCCCGGCCGGACCGCGGGCCTGCGCCGCGGGGAAGCTCCCGGGTCCGGCGGCTCCGCGGACGGGACCTGTTGCTCGCACGCCGGGCGTTGCGCCGCGCTCACCTTCTCTCCTTCCTCGCTGCCGCTGCTGCCGCCGCGGCCGCCACCGACACGCTCCGCCCGGGTCGTCCGCTGGAAGTCACAGCCTCCCGCGGCGTCTCCCCACCGAGTCCGCGGAGACGCCCGGCCACAGCCCCCGCGGAGCTGCGCAGCCGCCGCCGGCCCCGGCCCGGGTCCGCCCCGCCCGCTCCCGGCTCCGGCCGCCAATCCCCGCCCCGCCCGGCCGATGCGCGCAGGCGCGGAGCCGCTCCCGCCGAGCCGGCGCTGGCCGCCAGACAGGCCGGGGCGGGACGGGGCCGGCCGAACGCGCGCCCCCTGCCGGCCGGGCGGGGCGGGGCCGCTTCCGACGGGCGCCTCCGATGGCTGCCGTGGTGATTGCGCGGGGAGGGCAGCTGCCGCCCCGGCTGTGGTGGAGGGCCGGTGCTCCCGTTCCCGTCCACATTCATACCCCATCATTCTGCCGCAGCTCCCTCTCTTCCCCCGGTCGGACACCTTTGTGGGAGCTCTACGCGCCCTGATCGGAACCGGTTTGCCTGCCGGCCCGTGCCCAGGCACCCCGTGCCGCCGGCCCTTTTCACCGCCGCTCTCCTCCTCATGCCCCCGTTCTCCCTATACACCGCTGCTGACAGACAAGCTGGACTGGCCTCAGCCGGGCTTGGAAGGAACACGTTTGCTCACATCTGAGAGCCCGCCTGTGGTGGGTGAGCGGGGGCTGAGGCGCAGAGGCGGCCCGGAGCGCAGTGTGTGGAACAGCAGAGGTAAGCGGGCAGTACGAGCAGCTTTACCGGGCTGTCTGTATCAACCACGGTGTTTCACAGAGCCACAGGGACTTAAGCACCGCATTTTAGTTTGAGCGAAACTCTGTATTCCCTCCCCTGGATTTTCAGGCTAGCCCGCCTACATCTTTATCTATGGCATTAAAAGAAATGCTACGCTTACCAAAACCAGAATATAGAAAGGCTTTTGTAAGCCACTAAAAAGGTCTAAACAGATACTATTGTTTCTTTTCTTCAGTTCAACCGTTTACAACTTTATCATTTAACTGAATCGAGTCATTCTCCATAATGAAATTCAGGTAAAGACTTTCAACTTCTTACACTTTTACTCTGTTCCGTGTTCTCTTTGGATCCCCTCAACACACTAATTTCTGTCCAAACAGAACCAAGGATCGTTCTTTTCACCTTCATTTGAAAATAGTGAAAGTTTACATGAACCTTTTTAAATAAACTTTTTTTGGCAAAAGTTTTGAGAACTTCTTCAAAATACCATACTTGTCTGTAAGATATAATGGCTGCAAAAAGTACTTAGATTTAGCAGTTGACTGTTCACATCCTCATCCAAACCCATCTCTAGTTTAATGTCTTTTCTACATGCAAGGCTTGGATAAAGAGATTAAAAAAAAAAAAATCATGAATTCCGATTACAGCTTCCCTCAACTGATAGCACTTCTCCTTTCCTCACAGAGAGTGTCCTTGTCTCTAGTTTGCATGTTGCCCTAAAGCCAGTTTTTATATCATTGTAACTGAATTTTCTTCAATATATTGTGCAGTTTTTCATAGAGCAAAGAAGGATTCACAACAGTTCTAGAGTTTCTCTTCCTCCCACTTTGTTCTCTTGAATGTGTAGCTGAAGTTTTCATCTTTTGCCAGAATGGATTGCCAGACCAGGTTAAGACTGAGCTTGGGATATCTCTTGGATATATCTGCTTAAGGATCTATTTGTTTCTTTGGTAACCAATCTCCTCCCTCTGGCTTTCACAAACCCTAATATTAGCCTTTGCCCATCTGGCAAATCCATTCATAAGATGCTTGAATGAGGAGGACTTGGCTAATTCTATCCAACAGATTAAAATATTCCATCAGGCCAAGAAGTTGTCGTACCTGAAAACATTTCACAACAGAGCACCGGATCAGCAGCATTATTTGTAAAGCATCAGACAACTTTTCTCTTTTAAATCATTATGTTAGCAATTTAAATGGATGGATCTGCTGGTTTGTTTTGCCTTGTGGATGCTGTTTGTTGGCATGCTGAGAACACAAAAATTGCTGAGAGAAAATCAACATCTTGATTTAACAACACACGCAAATTAGAAAACAGATACAGAGAAAGAAGGCAAATAAGAGGATGAGGAAGGATAATTAGAAGATGACTGACTGGGAAAATCCGAGCTTTCAGTCATCTTAACTGCCTAGTTTTTCATGTGAGGATATAGTAAGACGGTTCTCAAAGGAATTTGAAAAATGACTTACCAAAGTATTATAAATAACCCATTGCATCTATTCTTCAAAGTTTTCGATATTTAGCAGAAATTAATAGAAAAGACATATGGATCTAAAACCTTTTTTTGAGTTTGGATCTTAGAACAACTTGATTTTAGAGGTTTAATTTTAACAGTATTATTATCAGTGGTTGTGGGATCGCAAAAGCATCTTTGGAACTACAGAAACAAGGTATTCAGGCAGCTTTATTGCTGAAGAACATTCTTTTCTAAGGCTGATGTCTTCATTCCAGAAACAAATACATATATTTTTACGAAGAATGTGTTTACCTTCAGTTAGCTGAGTTTTACATTTTAGTGTCACTGTTGGCCAGCAAGGTGGTGACATAACTGCTGATCAGTCTAAATCTGGTTGATTCTAATCAATGGAAAAATAAATGTTTTTGACAAGTCCAGGCATCAGACAAACATAGTACAAAGTGTTTTCTTTGAAACCATTGCCCTCTGGAGGGAGAATGAAAAATCACAGACTGATTAGGTAAAAATTCCCCTTTATGTCACTGTGTACCTGAATTTAAGTTTTACCCATGCAAAAAGGAATGCTCTTTCAAAAGCCCCACAGAGTCCACAGTGCCTTTGCCAGTGAAGGCTGGAGGAGAACTAATCCCCATCTGTCTTCCCCATTACTCTCCTCCCCTTTATCTCTAAACTCTTTATCACTAAACTCACTGAACAACTATTGTACAACAGATGTACTTTCTCTTCCAACTTCATCTTGGATTCCTTCCAAGTCAGTGTCATCCCTTTTTTATCTGCCGAAATAATTCTTTTTTCTGCAATCTCTAAAGAATTTTTGCCTTCCTGATACCAGAGTCTGTATCCCATCTTCTTTCTTAACCTTTTCTTAACCCATTTTTCTTAACCTTTCTCCTGCTTTTGTTGTTATCTTCACACCCTTTCCTTCTTGATCTTTTATTCTTGCAAAGTTGCAAGAAATTGTCTTATTTTTTTCTCTCTGATTTTATGTGTAGCATCTATTTAAATAGGCTGATTTCCTTCTGTCTCTGGGAACTTCACAAGGATTCTTCCTTTGGCTTTTAGGCATTGACTGTCTGTGTCTTGGATAATCACATTTAAATGTCACTTTTAACAAAATGTGAATGAAAGTGAGCTGCTTCCTACCCAGACTTATCCCTGTGTTGCAGGGGAAATAACAATATCCTTTCTATTTTGATTTATAGCAATATGATATCTCCTGACTACAAATCTGTCAGTTGTTTTAAATAGGACACATTAATACCATAATTCCAGAACCATAGGACTTGGAAAGGACCTCTGGAGATCAGCTAGTCCAGATGAACCAGTCATCTGAAAGAATGTAATACCAGTACTAGTCTACCTATAGGACTAGCACTGTCCACTATCTAGTATTTCAAAGAAGAATGCAAAATTCAGTAGTCTAGGAGCTAGGTTATTTATCTGGCAAGAAAAAAAAACGTCTTGACCTCAATAACACATCAACAGAAACCCTGAATTTCAAAATTAATACAGCAAACCAATGTTCTTTCAGCTTTCTTTGAATTTGGGCAGCAAATATGAAGGATTAAAACATGGTCATGCTCTGATCCTTGATAACATCTAAAACTATTCCTTCCTTTCTATCCAGTAACTGCATTTTGCATTCATGTTCATCTGGTGGCTGAAATATCTTCCTTTCTGGCTTTTCTTGTCCTCTGCTATTTCTTAATCCTTCAGATATGAAACTGCTCACAAAGTCACAGTATTTACAAATGAGATCACAAACCTAATAGAAGTTCAGCAGTAAAAATATGCTAATCGCCAGAAGAGAGGTCTCAAGTCTTGCAAATATTACCCGTCTCTTACTGAGGGGTCTTATGCACTGATATAGGAACCATACCCAGAAGATGGGTAAAGCTGGAAGTGGAGTTGTTGGATGGAAAGGCTTGGGGCACAATATTTAGTAAAGAAAGATAATAGATGATAAGAAGAATATTTTCTAGGCATCATTTTGCCTTTCCCCTATTGAGTTATATTCAAATAAGTGATTACCTCATTTATCTGTTTCTTTACATCTATTTGCTGCTTCTAGATCTTCCAAGTGTAGTTGCTGCTCTTCTTTGCAATTTACTTTTATGCATGTCTAACTTTTTGATATTATTTCAGCCATCAGTGTGCCTTCCTCTGAGCAGCTGTCCACTGTCGAATTGATCTAGAATTAATCTATAAGGACCCAAAGTAGACTGATGTATCTTTGGAGAACTGTCTCCTGCTGTGCCATTAATACCAGTTATTAATTTGAATTAAAATCCACTTTGTTCTTCCCCGTTTTCCCTTTTTGAGGCTGGATGTATTTTAAAGTCCAAAGTCAAGACAGGATTTTACTCAGAATTTAGTGTGAACCTGCCTTGGTGTGAACATGCTCATGCCTTTTGCTGAGTTTGTCTGGCAGTTTGATTACTTTTTTTAATCTATTATTAGAGACCAAAAGCTATTTTTTCACATCTACTTTTTTACTCTGTGGAGCTTCTTATACTCATAAAACCTTTGTAAAGAAATAAAAAACTAGGAAATAACTCAGCTCTATTGCAAAATATGGGAGGAATCAACAGAAGTTTAAACGGTTGAAACCACTTGTCCTGATTTTGTCTGGCACAGAGTTATTTTTGTTTGTAGAGGCTTGTCTGGTGCTGTGTTTCAGATATTTGATGAAAATGAATCAATAAGTTAGTTGTTACTGAGCTGTGCTTACACAGGGCCAAAAGCTTTTCAGCTTCTCATGCAGTCCTGCCAGGAGAGGCTGGGAATGCAAAAGGAGCTTGGTGGGGTCATGGCCAGGACTGCTGATCCCAGTGACCAAAGGGATATTCCATACCATATGGCGTATGCTCAGTATTAAAAGCTGGGAGGAAAGCTTTTACACTCATTTGGAGTGGTAGTATTTCTTTTTCCAAGAAAACATTACATGGGATGAGCCCTGCTTCCCTGGAAATCAGTGAATATCTCTGCTCGCAAGTGGGAAGCGGCAAATTAATTCTGTGTTTTGCTTTGCTAGCACATACAACTTCTGCTTTACCTAGCAAACTGTCTTTACCTCAACCCACAGTTTCTTGTATTTTCTGATTCTCTCCTCCTTCCCAGTGTGGATAGAGTGAGCAAGTGGCTGTGTGGTGCTGAGCTGCCTTCCAGAGTTAAACCACTGCACTGCCTAAGAAAAATACTTCAGTAGTAAATCCTAATGAATGAAGATATTTGTGGTGCCTAGGTGAGGTCATCTTTCCTGAAAGGTAGCTTAATGGTAGTAATTATGTTAATGATGGGACCCACCTATGTGACAATGCTACATTATAAGCTTAAGCTTTATGTATTTATTAGTCAAAACTAAGTCACTGTAGTATATTGTTTGCATACTGTATGAACAAAAAATGCAGGAAATATTTTTCCTGAGAGTAAATCAGATATACAGCAGGACAGCTGTAAGGCATACATAACCAGCCCCATAATTCTACTTCTTGTTCCCTTTTTCTAAATCTTCACTGAAATAATCTTCCACGCTGTATTTTATTATCAATCTTGTTTGTTATAGGAGTTCTGCTTGTGCATATCTGCTATACTTTAGTTAATGACAACAAACAACAAAAAAATAGTGGGTATTCTGTAATGTATCCATGTGGCAGCCTGAATGTTAAATTTTTATGAGGGAGAATCACTTCCAGAATTACTGTTTTTAAAACTTTCCTTTGATTATTACCCCAGCTATTGAGCTTGCTTCCAACAGATTATAAACAACATGTCCAGCAGCCAATTACAACTACAACAGTCAGCATGTCTGTTGTTTCCCAGCATCTAAAGCAATCTTTGGTATCATTTTTATTTGAACCCTAAACATCTGCGTAACTGCTAAGTTATACTGGAATTTTTCTGAAACTAAAAATAGAAGAGACTTTTTTTTTTATTATTTTTGAGAAATATGCTAGTAGGAAATAATGTGCTCTATGTATGACCCTAAAAATGATAGATAATAACTTTGGATATATACCTTGAAACCCATCAATACTGATAATAAATAATGATATTGATCCGGACCTGAAGAATTAGTCCAGTTTAAAGCTGTTTGGGTCCGTGAGCACACATAATTTTATAGCATTTCCCTGTAGTCCTCACATGTACTTCATTGCCCGTCAGTTAACTAGCACTTGCTGAGAACTGCTGCTTTGAATCCAAAACATGTAATAACTCATGAAGTTTGGGTTTCTTAATTTTTCTGTCCACTCAACTGCATGATGTACTAACATTAAGAAACCCAGCCTCAGCCAAGAATCCTTAACTTCTGAGATTAATATGGACATTTGGGTTGTTGCTGGGTGAATACTGTCAGAAAAAAAATCCTTCATACATACCTCAGTAACACATGCGTAAATCTAGAGTGTTGTGTCACAGAGGAAACAAAGGTATGGCATCCAGTTTCTCTGTAGATATCCATGCTGATCTCAGCATAATGTCTTCTACACAGATATAAGATGCCAATAGATTTTCATTCCCTCTTCTTTGGCAGCAGAGGCATTTTTCAGATGCTTGATTTGTGAAAATTTGGACAGCACCAAAATATACTTTCCATCTGTTGCCATAAACATACCTAATTACCTTTCCAAAGATAGCAATAGCAGCTACATAGCCATCTCTAAGGAAGGAAGACATTGTTTTGAAACTGATAGAAATTACTCATTTCCATATAGCTATGTGGAGTGCCTTCATTATTCTTGGATAAATCTGTGGGCTACAGTGTAAACTCTATACCATTCTCAAGAATCTGCACCTTGACAGAAAATTGCTGAGGAAATGAAAGCCATTCAAACTGTTTTGGAAAACATGTTTTGGAACATGTTACATTAATACCACTTTATTTTGCAATATTTCCTAAAAACTGTAGTCAAACATTATGCTGATAGCTGTACTGCTTGTAGGATCTTCAGTAACTGTCATTCACCCAGCAGTTATTTTTCTTTCAGAGGAGGTGATAGCATGCATTGACATCTTGAGCCAATACTGCATACCAATCTTATGAATCAGCTCAGTGTAAGACTGTTTTGGTATGTAACCCAGCAAGCATCCATGATGATTTATTATTCTTTGCTTCAGGTTCAGTGATCAATAGTATATTTTTATTGCATTCACTATGCAACAATTCAACCATCTTCCCAGTGTTGTAATCTGGAAAAATTAATACTGTGAAGTTACACATTTGCAGCATTGATTGAGAGCACTTTAGATTGTGTTCCAATGAACTAAGGCTGAACAATACCATTTGCGTGGTACAGCAGTCCTGTGTGTCCCCTGTCAAAGTTACCACGGGTTAGGGTACAAGAGTGAATGTTTCTAGTAGTACAGTAAGTTGTTCTGAGACTGATCTTGTTTTTTTGCAGATAAAGGACTGTATCTGTGTCTTCAGTCAGTGAAGAGAAACACAATGCAGCATATCTTGATATGAAGTAAGTCACAGATATTACTTCTGTGCTAGTAAAAAAATTGTTTCATAGACTTTTTGAATGCAGTACGCTTTATTTAAAAGTATTCAAAATGAATTATCATTAGTTTTCCAGTGATCCATAGTTTTCATTTTCTCTTCTTCACTTGTGTAAAGTCACTGACGGTAAGCATCTGCAGCCAGTCTCTCTACAGGCACTTGTGAAATTACTGTTACTGATCGTTGCAGTGTTTTGTTTGTTCATGTAGTTGACAACAGCACATCATAAACCATGTATCATTGTAACTTGCTGTCCCTCAAACAGAAAATACGCTGTACAAACATTTTCTCAGGGACCACCTAAAAATTTCTTCCTGTCAATAAATGCAGCTATGTTCTTTTGATAAATAAAACATGGGAAGTTCTTCTGCCAAGGAAAATAGTACGGGAGTCTCCAAATATACTGAATGATATTTCAGTTTTGTTCATGTTTTGGTGATATCTAGAATTTGCATTTACTACCACTTGCTTATAATGGCATCATAGACTGGAATCTATTTACATGCAGGCTGCCTCAAAGAGTATTCAGTTAATTTATTTTCTCAAGGAACATTAGATTGGCATTTGTCTTCTCGGAATCTATGAATTATGTATATCCTCTGTGCTCACTTGCAGAAAAGCCTACTGAGTCTTCCATTTCCCATGCTTGGCTATGTTTACAAAGAACTTATGCTTCAAAATTTCATTAAAATACTTCATACACTGTAAACTACACAGAAATGTCCCAGCACCAGGTACAAAAGCAGTAGTGGGGAATGTATATGCAGAGTGGATATCAGAGAATTTAGTTGGTTTTTGGGTAACTATCTGTTGTTGCTTCAATTGGTAAAGTAGTAGAGCTTCAGATGCTTTTTTGTATGGTGGGCAGAGAGATGGAAGACAGCTACATCAGCTTGCACAGCTGTAGAAAATGTTCTTGAACTAACAGTGATTTGCCCACATTCATCTAGAAGTTCATAACATCTGTATTAGTGTGATTTTGCATTCCTAGTATGGTATTGCTCACTATCACTTGTCTTCTTGCAATGTTTTGAAAATTGCTTACATGAGAAGCTTCCCTGATGCTACATAAATGTATAAGCCACACTCAAGCATTACTGTTATTCAAGTGTCAATTTCTTTGCCTTTTGCTGCATGTTACAAAGTCTTTGCCCTGAAAAATGGCCTCAGTCACTGAAAAAATGTAAATTCTACTGTAGAGGAACAAAATATATTTGTTACTGCTAGTTGTGAATTAAATACAAAGAAATAGAGGGTTTGTGTTTCAGCAGTAAATTGTAGAACTGAAGACTGCAGCATCAGGTGTTTTTTTTTTTTTTATTCTGTATGTATGTCTGGTCCCTGTTTTAAAAGCATCTGATGACAGGATGCTTTATTTTCTATTATTCCTTCTCGCTGACAAATCATCTGGAGTATAACTTGAAGCAGCCTATGCTTGACTTACTGCCACCCTTTCGATTTCCTGAAAAAGAAAGCAAACCAAAACCATGATGAGGACGAGCTCAGAACAGTGCAGGAAAGTAGAAGATGGAAAAGAAGCAGGAGTCGAAAGTGAGAAAAGGATGGAGAAGATAAACATACACCAAGAACCACAAAAGGAGGAAGACTGACCAGAGGCAAATGATTTTCAGACTTTCCTGATTACTTCTCTGTTCATTTTACAAATAGTGGGGGAGTTTACTAGCATTTCTACCCTGTGTTCCAAACTGGCCTTTTCTTGGTCTCCCCCATGCTATTCTCCTTTAGTTGCTCCTAAAAATTACTGCTCGCCTACTCATCTCTAAGCAGAAATAATCTCTAGTCCTTGCTGAACATCTGAGAGGTGTAAAAAGTCTGTGCATAGCTAGTATCAGTTGACATGATATGGGCACACCTCTCAGCTGGCTGGGGATATGCGAAGATCATTTCCGTTCACTACTGAAAGCTGATCAGCAAGCTGAGAAGCGAACAGAGTCTGCAGGTTGGTAAGCTCAGGGGAGCAGATGCTGTCTTTGCCTCAATGTGGCAAATCCAGAAGCAAGTAATAGAATGCATACCAGGAGAAGTATGGTCAGCAAATGAAGAAAAAGAGAAGAGACAAGTGCACAGTGGAAGAATTACATATTTGGAGGAAGGTACAGTTTAAAATGAGGAAAAGACATAGGACAGGATTTGAAAAATGTGGAAGGTGAGAGAAAGGATAATCCAAAACTAGAAGAAAGGAATAGAAATCAGAGGAAAAATGAAAATATATGAGTGACTGAGGAAAGGAACAATTAGACAAGGGAGGGTGACTTAATTTTTTGCAAAAAGAAAAGAGAGAACAATGGGAAATGTTCTTAGCCAGGTGAAGGAATTGCAAGCAGCCCACAGCTAAAAAGAGAAGCATGCAGTAGCATCATGTTCACAAAAAGTGAGGTTGATTGGACAAAAGATATCACTCAATCTTTCCTAACTTAGTAAAATGTAAAAGTCTGTGTAGTAAGCCCATGAAAGCTTTTGTTCAAGAGACTGATTCACTCATATGCAAAATGACCGTAAGCTTAGACACAAGGTGCGGGGCATCAGCAGACTAAGAGCAACAGTCTTTGTTATTTCTTGGCAGGCATAGGTAACAGTGTATAATCACTGATAAAAAACTGGGAATTGTGAATATGGCAAGTGGTGAACAGTAAGAAAAGACTGTCTTTGAGATGCCTGCTTGTTGTAGCTGAATATTCTGTAGAGATTTATGCAGAAATGCAGAATGCCAAGAAGGACACTAATGCTAATCTCAGTATGGTGTTGAAAAGATTACTCCAAAATAGGTCCACATCTTGCCAGGAGGACACATTCATGGCTGAAAGTACAGCAGACACACTGCCTGGAAGCAAATTTATGCTCTACCATGGGTTTTTGGGAAGCCTTATGACATGTTGGAAGAGGAAATAGGGGCCAACATTATCTCTCTGTAACATTCTATAGCATAGAGTTTTCTTATCCTTCTCATTGGAGTGTATTTCATCTGATTTTTCAGTGATGTTGCTGATGGCTGACATCAGCCAAACAAGTCAAGTATCAAGGCTTTTCTAAAAGAAACCTGGCACTGAACCCTGCCAAAGTGAGGTGTGTTCAGAACAGGGGTCTAGCAAAGGGTGCTTTCTAAAAATATTATTTCACTTTTATACAAATGCTAATCCACTGGCAAGTAGGAAAAATTTGTTCTGAACAGCTCCCAGCTCATGAAGATTAAGCTTCCCTCATCTATTACTGAAGTAGGAATAACACTGGGGAAATGGCCAAATATCAGAACACCCATCATACCTGAAGGTTGTGGTGTTTTCTCTTTTTTTGGCTTCATTTTGTTTGTCCTAAAAATAAATAAATAAGAAGTTCAGGAAAAAACACAATGCTGTTGGAGACAACAACAGGGAATAACACTACTGCCAACAAACCCACAAAAACAAACAAAAACAACATCAATAAAACTTACCTGAACAATCTTGTTATGTACCAGTATTAAATAGACACTATTTTAAACTCTTTCTGTCTGCAGTAGAAATATCTCTTGCTAAATAATGTGGTAAGCCTTGCTTTGAAGTGAAGGCACATGGAAACAGTCTTTCAAAAGAAGCTGAGAAGCCAGAATATGGATACTTGGAAACCCCACCCAATATTCTTCAGCTTCCTAGCACATTTAAAGCATCAGGAAAATTGCTGTCTGAAAAGGTGTCGCAATAATATATTTTCCAAAAACCAAACTGCAACACATATTAATTTTCAAAGTTCTACATCGAAAACAAAGTATATCAGAATCATTTCTCAACCATATTTACCTGCTCTTCCTTCTTTCTTTGCTTCTGCTGTTTGTAGTACCCAGAGGATCTTTACTCTTTGACTCCGTGGTGGTTTCTAGCCTGGTTGCTTCCTGGGAGCTGTTGAAAGTTGCCCTTTCCCTTTCACTCTTTTCGGTGGGACCCACAGTATCTGAGTAGGGAACTTGGTTGGAGGAGGTTTGTTCAGTAACAGTTTCTTCCTCTATTTTGGGGTTAGGCACGTTTTGTGTGTTGTTGCTCTAGACAGAAAAATGAAAGTTAAACAGATACAGTAGCAACAGACATTAAAAATACTCCACACATCACTGATCAACGCAACTGGAAGTTGATGATAATTTCCTGTATACCAGTCCTTTATATATTGAGTATTCAGCAAATAGCTGCCTTCTACCAGTCTGGCTGTCCACTGTAGCATTTGCTTCAAGAATTTTCTTTTTCTGTCCTTTGAATAGATCAAATGTCCTTACCCTTTTGCTTATTTATTATCAGCGTCTGTATAAGTCTCAGCTGTGCTGTGTCTTTCTTTTTTCTGTTTTTTTTTCCAATTACTTGTGGAATTGAACCCCAAAGATCCATTTAAGAGCATACCCATAACTGCAAGGAAAAACTAAACATTGAACATTTTATAGTATGGTATTTGTAGATCATTACAGTTTTATCAGGGCTAGGTTGCATCCAGCGTTTTCACTCCTTTTGCCCTGATTTTTTGCAGGGAGTTTACAACAAGCCAGCTATTTCAATAAACAGAACTGTAGATCCTTCAAAACATATGAAAGGTTTGGCTTCAGAGAGATAGTAAAGAATACAGATAGAAACTATACTTTTTAATTGTTCAGCTTGAAGATTTGTTATCTGTTTACCAAAGACTTACATTGTCTGGTGGCTTGTTGGGGCTGGAAGCTTTCTCATGACTCGTGCCAGAATCCTTACATATTATGTTGATGTTGGTATTGCTAGTATCTTTTGGATGTCTCAGGAGAGAGATTAGCTTCAACCAGTGGTGGAATAGTTGCTGTTGTTGGTCTGGTGGAGCACAGAGCTCTAGATAATAGGAACGGCCATTTGCTAATTTTAGCATGAGTTGTTTCTTATCTGTGCTGTGAACAGAGAGTTCTACAAACTTCAAGGGCAAGAACCTGAAAAAACAAAAAGATATTATGTCGTCAGACTTGAAGACCAGAAGTGAGAAACCGGAATAGGGAAAAGCTGCTGAGTAGATTTGGACATTCCTCTTTGAGTGACACTGACTTTGGAAGAAATGCTGAGCAGCAGTGCACAGAATGGAGACAAAGAATGTCAGCTTCTTTACAATTCCTTTATTCCACTGCCTTTTTCCTTGACAAACCTGCACCTCCAATCTTTTCACCAGTTTTCAGCTTCTGATATGTTTTTTTTTTTTTAAAAAAACTTATTAGGTATTTTCCCGTCATTTTCCATCTGTGTGTATGTATATGGGTAGCACTGGCCTAAAACGATGACCAGAGTGAGGCCTAAATTTGTGTCTTTAAATTTCAGTGATACTCCTGACTTTACTGGTGCTGGAAGAAAGTGCAAATGTGAGATCTGTTCATAATCTGATTCTTAAATGGAAGAAAACACCACATGGAAGGGGGAAGCTCTTCAAGGACTTATTTAACCTTTTTCAGTGCTCACTCACCTGCTAAGTACTAGCTGTTCCACTTGAGATGGATGCTCTGAGAATTTCTGGAGATTTGCCATTATTTCCTGTGGGGACACAGGCACTTTGTGTGCTAGCAGCATTCCACTGGGCATTGGTGAATGGGCAGCACAGATGCCGATGGTCACGCAGGTTGGTCGATTGTGGAGATTAATCAGTTCCCCTCTTCGGTTAATCTGAACAACAACAACAAAAAATCAACACTCTCAGAGAATATATATCAAAGATATTGCACAGTGATTCAGCCTAGGATTCCTAGAGCTTATGTAATGTGAGGAGAGAAGGGAACGTGGAATAATGAGATGGGTATATATATGAGTGAAAACAGAGGAAGAAATTTGAATCAGGATAAATAAGGATCACTGGTTATTTTGTAGTCTCCATCATTAGGTATCTGACTGCTGAGGTAAGAAAAGACTTGTGGGCTACTATCTCAAGTTAATTTTATTGTAAACATGATGGAAGAGACACTCTGTTCTGATGACTCAATGTCTTTGTCAGAATTACTGTGATATTAATGAGACCTAATTTTGAGCCAGGATCTTGATCGATGCTGTAAAAGTAGAGGATGGAAAAAGATTACGGATAACTTACGCATAAGACATAAAATGACAGAAAAAAGAAATGAGAAAATTCAAAGAAAAAAATTGATATGCATGCTCAAATCACATGGTACCTACCACTGTCAGAATTTGCTTTTGGTAGACATCAGAGAAAAAACTGTGTTCTAAGAAGGAATTTGAGGGATAACAGTGTATTAAATTAGTGGATCTCTAGTAGAAGATCTTTCCAAGCGTGAGACATGGAATATGAAAAAATAGATCAAAGGCTATTATTTTTTACATCTAATGGGAATGTCAATGATGAAGCTGTTTTCACAGGCTGTTTGTTTAGGGCAACAGCCTCCTTGAGAATAAATTGGGTCTAGTAAATAAAGCAGGGATCAATCAAATACCTTGAAAATAGAGACTTGCAGCTAATTAGCATTCTGCACATGTACCAACAATGCAAGATTGAGTTAATCAAGGCAACAACAAAGGATGTTGCAGTTATCACAGTGAGGTGATGGAATCCTATTAAAAAGCTCTGTTGATGTACATTTGACAAGTAGAACTCACATGTTTTAGATACACAGTGAATGTAATGTTGTAGACTTGCAGACTGTTGCCAGGGTCATGAAAGGTTCTGTGGCCAGTCAAGGATACTGAAAAGAGGGAGGGAGTAGTGGGAAGATTACTGAGGAAGGTTGACAGCTCTTTAAGCTAGGTTGAACTAAATTTGATGGCTAAACAACCTTAATGAGCTAGCACAAAACCAGAAAATTGCTAACACTCTCCTAGTAGTTTCTACAGGAAAAAGAAGGGACTGACAAAGAAGGATGAAAACATCATTCTTGGACATCCTCTAATTTTCAGCATAGCTGTTGCTGACATTCTAGACCATCATCCATAAAGTGAGAGCATAATGAGACTGTGTGAGAAGAGAACCTGTGTATATCCGTGTCTTTATTTTTGTTTGAAATGAGAATACGTGTGGTGGGAATAAGTGAATGAGGAAAAATTGCTCAGAAGAGGAAGGAAAAAAAAAAAAGTAATTTATTTGATCAATTTTAATTGAGCATGCAAAAAAAAAAAAAAAAAAAAAAATTAAATTATTTATTTTTACCTGAACAAACCTGCTTTCAAGCATGGGAGCAGAGGCAAAAAGACCATATTCTCCTTGATTAAGAAGTCTCTTGAGGTCACCCATGATGGATTTCTTACTTGATATAATGTTTTTAGAGTCAAACTCACTCTTATTTTGCCTGTCCTCAAAACAAAAATAAATATACATGTTAAAAGGAAAAGAAATAGGAAAGCTTATAAATTGGGATTATAAATAAATACAGCATTTTATTATACTACTAAAACTCAGAACATTTCCCTCGTACACACACATTTTTATGAACATACAATTTTAAGTGCAAAGGGAAACTTAATAGGGCTTTTTTCACAGTTCTATACTTTTTTTTGAACCCTCTTTTCTCTCTCTCTTTTTTTTTTTTTTTCCCCCAAAGTGAATATAGCAACATATTTTGCAAGTGATGAAATCTTTGAGCTGTTCTCAGTGGTGGTTTGGAATGGTGACTTCTATCTTCATGTCTCATGGATCACGTATGTGTTTATTGGAAGTCAAGAATATAGAGATGATATGAAGTTAAAATTCTCCAGCAGTTAACTGAATGAACTCTGTGGACGTAATATTAATAGCTTCACGAGGTGTTGGGGTGGGGGAAAGTCTAGGTTATTCATTAATTACGTTTCCAAATATCTTTATTGGAGAGTTAACAAGCTATTATCCCAAGTAGATACCAAAGTCAAATGATTTGTTGAAGACTGCATAATATGTAACAGAATGTCAATAAGAATAGAAAATCCCTACTCTATATTTTTGGGAAAAAAACCCACAAAACACAAAAACAAAAAAACCCACAAAAACAGATGTAGTAGACTTCTACTTCCCTTTCATACCTTGTTTCACTCACAGAAATCCATTGCTTAGCTGGAGGAGTATACGTACAGAAAGAGAGGACAAGAGTATGCTAATCCCTTCTGTGGAGCCCAGTGGAATTCTCCCAGCTCTAGTAACCCATCATTGGTGGCATCACAATGCATCACTAGGTTTGTGTTCTTAACAGTCCTGGCAGCAATTATGTTTATTGGTTAAGTAAGGGCATAGTGATAACAATGTGTATTTCCTTGTAACACAAACACACGCTATCTAGCTACTCCTGCTCCAGCAGGGGGATTCGACTAGATGATCTTTCAGGGTCCCTTCCAATCCCTGGCATGCTGTGATGCTGTGATTCTGTGATATCACCACAGATTTTTGCACTGATACAGTCCTTTCAGAGCAGGCTACCAGGGAAGAACAAGACAAAACCTATGACAGATGATGAGCTTGGAACCATGTCTAACCTTAGCAGAAATATTGCTCTCAACAGCTAGGGCACAATCTTTCAAACCTACAGGATCCAAAAAGAATAAACTGAACAGGATTGATGGTAAAAAGGACCCACTAACAGACCCAAGCAAGATAAGGCAAAATGAGATGAAACAAGGTGAGGAATGAGCCCATCTTAGGTCACCATCCTAGGATTCAAGTCAGCAGCAAGAACAAGAGCAGATAGAACTAGAGATAGAACTCTAATACGTGCTCAAGGACATCTGTCCTAGAGTCAGGAATAGAGACAAACACACCCATAAACTCAACTCAGAGGAGGAGAAGAGACACAGACCAAAGCCTCCCTGCAGCTCCCAGATGAGAGGTGGTGGTGTGTGAGAGAAGAGGGGCAGGGTAGAGGTACCAGGTGAGGCTGGTCAGAGCAGTTAAAGTCTGTTGGTGCACTCTGGAACCTGGCACAGGCCCAGGATGTTAATGAACCAGTTTAAAGTGGTATGGATATTCAGGTGGTTTGCTCTTGTTTGTAGGTTTCAGCTTCTCTAACCTTTTGTTACAATCAGCTCTTGATGTTAACTTTTTTTTTTTTCCACCCTAATGTGATAACACCTATTTCAACTGAATCTGGTGCTTTGACAAGGTTTTGGGTCATGAGTGATTAGCAGGCTGGCTGAAGGAGTATTGCTGTTACAAAATAGGAATTATGTGGTCTGACAGTTTGAAGATCTATTGTGTATTGCAGTCTTCTTTGTGTAGGTACACATTCACTGTTTCCTTAGGTAAAAGCCCCCAAGACAGTTTCTGTCTGATTGTACTATGCTCTAACACAGCAGCGTCCAGCAAAAATGGTTTTTGTTCTCTCCACTGCACAACTCTAATCCAGCATTAAAGACAATTATGCTTTTCTTTCCCAGGTGGATTTTAGTTGTGTAGTAGAATAGACAAAGACAGATAAATAGTGTTGTTATATCAACAGCAACAAGAAGAAATAGTTTTTCCAAAACCGAATTACCTTTTCCTCTTTAGTCAATGGAAATGTAATTCTAAACATCAGCACAAGTGAGCAACAGAGCTGGAAGAGACTGACTCAGCAGACAAATGGTCACAGCACTTACCTGAACCCGAGAAGCTGCAAGTCCTGTCCACCCCCCCAAATACATGTGTACACTTAGCTAGCTCTTTTCTGGAATGCAGAGTATAAGCACTATGAGAGTCAGAGCTAAGACTGTGTTAGGAAGCAATAAAGTAATTCCTTAGCCATAGGGCGATTGGCTATTGCAAATGATGTTGCTATTTTTCAGGACAAATTCTGTATAGTTTTTGGGAGTGTGAGGTGTGGGGTGAGAAGCTTCTGCAGCTCTGTGCTGCTGGCTCCCAACAGTAAGATCAAGCATACATACCCAGTCTGCCCTGTAGCTGGGCCTTGGATCCCAGTCTCTCAAGTTGATTGGCACAGGGCTATATGAGACCCTGAGGCTGTAGCCCCTCCTCTGTTGGTACATACTCCTCACTCATGCCCATACACCCACACCTCTCACTTGCCCACAGACCCCATGATCTCTCTAGGAGCCACCTGGGACTCCCCCGCTCCCTCAGTAGTTCCCTCCTGACATGTTTTCACTCCTTATTCACCCAGGAAAAGAAATGACATTGAGTAAGACATGGCAGAGTGTGGACAAGGCACAGGGCATGGCCAGACAAGTATATCTGTTTGTACTTGGCGGGTTTGTTTATTCCTTCATCTCTCTATTTTCCTTCATCTGTTCCTCCTCAAAAATTGCTACACCAATCCCTTTCACCACCTCTGGTTCCTCCCCAAAACACATAAAAAGTCTTGTGCAATCCTAAAATGCTCTCCACTTCTTCCTATAAGGTGTTCTAGCCTCCAGGTATTCTGAAGGGTGATCATAGGAACCCTTCCATTACCTCATGTTGATAGGTTTCACACCTGGACAAGCCCTCCTGTGACAACCCTTAATTTGGGTTCCCACCTGCCCTCATGCCCCTGTGCTCCTCTAGACTTGAAGAAATGAGTTGTTGAAATGCCAAAGGTTCCTGCGATGGGCCTGGGAGTAGCTGAGGCAGTGCATTATTTGGATTCTCTTATGTGCCATTCCCGTTCTCTTTCATATTTGTGCTTTCCATCATACACCCTAACAAAGGACTTCTATTTTCATTATTTTGCTTTAATCTAATACTGTCCACCACCTCTAAGAAAAACTCCAGCTGATGGAGAAAGCTGCAGCATGACTCCCTAGCAACACAGCCTGCCAAAAGCGTACTAAATCCTGTCTTCTGCTTTGTTCAGTGGCTTTTTATAGCACATTGGGAAAATTGATTGGATTTGGCCAGTAGGGTATAAATTACGGAAAGCCACTCATAGATGTACTCTGCCAACTAACCTTGTATTTAACTGACTTCAAATAGCATTGCATCTGTTTAAGCCTCTTTCCCCTTCTGAAAGGCTGGCGGGTGAGTCACACTCAGGTCATTTTTATTCTCTCTATTCAATGCCTTTTGTGATGATCAGCTACCTAGTGTTGGCTGAAAGGCCATTCCGAAAGGCACAGTACACCACAACCAACTGCTCCTGTTTGCTCTTCTGCAAGTTCCTGTGTGTGAAACCCTCTGAGCACAGCATGCTCACTGACCAGCGGGCTCTGCAGAGCCACATCCCAGGAGATTTCCCAGCAGTACTTGCTGTGGAGCTACTTGTTGCAGGAACTTCATACAAAGACAGGACAAATACAGCAAAAATATTAAGCCCCATTTTTTGTTTCGCAGCTTCTTCATGTATGGACGAGGGTAGTCTTGCCTCAGGTGGAATTTATCAGGTCAGTTGGCAGTTCTCCAGAGTAATGTGACAGCATCCTTAACTGGAGCATAGAGGCTGTCATACCGGTGGGAAATCAGCTGGTAATAAACCACAGTAAAAGATCAGGCATTATAAGGAAAAGCATCAGTATTATAGCACAGCTGCCAAATCACCAAAGCAGGGCTTTTCAGACTGGATAGAACAGATCCTCATCTGTGATAACTGATGTTATCTCTGTTGTCTGGCACCTCAAAATGTTCTCAGGATTTTGGCAAAGGCTTTGATAATGGCAGCATGGTAGCTGTGTTTGTATTGCTTGTACGTGCTCCAGGTAACATGTATGCTTATAGGTGTCCTTTTGTCAAGATGCTGCTGTAAGTTTTCCTGAGCTCCTTATCTCCCATGAAAGTGAAAAGGTTAGGAAGCAGCAAATATGGATTGAAATACCTCCTGTCCTACTTGTACTCTTGTGGTGCAGAACTTCCTGGGAGAAGTAGTCTAGAAGATTTCAGCTAATAAAGATTTTAAAATATATTAAAATATATTAGAAAAGCGACAAATGGTGAACTGATAGACTGCTGACAATATTAACATGTTTGCAGTGTTGAAGACAAAGACAGCTACAAAGAACTGCAGATGCATTACTCAACATTGAGTGGAAGTGTGTTGAAATAGTTGAGGTTATCAACACAGACAAAAGTAAAATGATGCATATGAGGAAGACATTTTCCTTAGCTATCATCTACAGTTATTTTTTTCTAGGCTGATCACATCTAATTAAGAATGAGACTTTAGGGTTACCTTTATTTTAAGATCTATAAAAACATGTAGATCAGAAACACTGAAAAACAGTAAATATTAGGAAATAGAGAAGGATGTAAGTTGTTAGGCTATTATAAAAGACAGTTATGCCTTTTAATTCTGCGTGCAGTTCTGGTCTTGTCTCAGAGACTATAGTAAAGCTGAAGAAGGTCCAAAGAGATGCAACAAGAAACATCCAATCTGTAGGTCATTTTAGATGGAGTGTTGACCACACACAAAGGACAGACTATATAGATTTGGACTCTTAATCCAGTCAAGAGTCAAGAGAAATATGGGTGGCAAAGTGATGATGGCTTCTTATTGACCACTCCAACATGAATGCTAAGAGACATCAAAGGAGAGTAGGAGGTGGCAGATTCAGAACAAAACAGAGGCAATGCTTCATACTGTTAAGCTGTGGCAATTCTTGTAACAAACATTGGATACTGGGGGAATATTTGGAGGATGTATCATTATATATCTGCAGCGAATTTTTACTCTCTTCCTGAAATATGACCTCTTAGATAATTCTTTTTTTTCAGGAAAATGTTTTGTTGTTGTTGTTGTTGTTGTTGTTGTTGTTGTTGTTATTATTATTATTATTATTATTATTATTATTTCCTAAAGACTGACAGGTGGTGCAGTACAGGGGTTTCTGGCTGTATGTTGCCTTCCTCTTGGCAGCTTCTGGAGTTTGTCCCATAAAAGCTGCCTTTTCCTGCTGGAGCCAGCCGTTGCCAGTGTTGGAAGCTGTGTCTGCAAATATCTTGGCTGGTTTCTCCTGGCTTAGTGCCCAGTCTGCACATTGCTGCAAAGTGGGGTCCCTGTGAGGAAGCCAAATAGCTTGTTTCAGAATGATGAAGTGATTGATCACTTGGCCACAGCAGACAAACATCCTGGTTAGGAAATGCTCGTCAGACTGGTAACACTATGCTGTTTTTGAGAAGCTTTATGTCCTTGGTGTGCTTGATCTCATTTGTCCTGCTGATTTTTTAGACTTCTGTTTGGTAATGGCATCCCACCAGTGCACCTTAGGATACTGTGAAATCCACAAAGAGAAAGTCAGGCACAGATGGAGGCCACTTTGCATGCTTTCTTCTTAGTTGAGTGGGACAGTTTTCTGGTGTTCTCCTGACTGGTAACACAGTTTAATCATGGTCAGATTATTTCATCTCACTCCAGTTTCTTTTATGCCCAGTCCTCTCTTTTAAGACATTTTCACATTCAGCTAGCTCTTGGACAATATGACTGCTTCTTATAGATACGAGTGCTTCAGGATATGATTCTTACAATCCATCATCGTTCACTACAAAGAGTAAATCAGGTTTTGAAATCATACTCTGCTGCTGTTTATAAGGTAGTTTTCACATGGCTATACAATTGTTTTCCAGAAAATTCTCCTCTTATACTTTCCTTGAAGTTACTTTAATTCTAGTTTCAAATCACTGGTTATCAGGATCATGCTAATGCATTTACTTTCTCTGGTATGTTCAGATTAATTGTGGAGTTACTGGTATACAACCAATCCTCAGTTTTGCTTGTAGTTAACTCTGCAAAAATTGTTTGTTGTCTGCATTTTCAAATTGAAGTTGGATCCATGCAAATGCATGTTTTTGCATAAAAACAAAGCATGCTGGATGTCTTCGTGCAGTGCTGTGTTGAGCAAGTAACCCCAGCCAGACCAGTTTGTCAGCTAGAGCCACTGAGCGTGTGTGCACTGCCCTCAGAAGGATTTGTATTCTAAGAGTTTTGTCAGCTTGTGTGCAGTATGGCATGAATGCACAGGACAAGTCTTACTCTAATGCTGAATATGAGTCACTAAGCCCTTTTCAGAACACATGCAGCTGGCAGCATATCATGATGCTGTAATGTTTGTAAACCCCACAGGCTTTTGTATTAGCCAGGAAGTGTCTCTATTTTCATACACGTTTTAAATCTAGCATGGGGACTCACCTTTTTGGGTGGAGGCTGGGATATACTTAATAGAAAACAAAGATTAATTCTGAGGAATTCACAGCAGAAAAAAATATATATATATATTTACTCTGAGTAAATATAGAAGTTAAGCTACCGGCAGCATCATGTTGAAGGGGTGTAAATACTGTGGGTTTTGTCTGGATAGCTTTAGCATGGTGAAGGCGTTTGCCACACCATTTGGTACAGTTACTGGAGATCATGTTCTTCAATATGAGGTTAAAGCACTTAATTGCAACCTACTGACCAATACTGCTCTGGGAACCTGTACCTTGTCTCTACTCCACAGATTGCTGCTTTGACTACCATCAGTTGCTGCACATCTCCCCACAACAACCCCCTCTTTTTTTTTCTTCTCTAGTTGTGACTTTGATCAGTGCTTTCTTTGACTATATGCATAAATGTCCTTTATCTTCTAACTTGGAGTGCTAAAATTTCCTTTATTTTTTTTTACTGGGAATAAAGCCAATTGACTTCAGCTAGTTGGCTAGTTTAGCAAAGAGACTACCAAATTTTTGGAAAGTATCAGCATAAATGATAATTTTCATGCAGTTTCAAATTTCATGCAAACAAAAAATAGTTTCTTGGGGAAAATTTTGTGCACAAGCATTTAACATCTACCTATTTCTTTCCTTGTTACTTTTTTGTTAGTTAAGAAGAAGACTGTAAGGATTGTTACATGCCAGACCAATCTACTGGTTGGCTTTATAGCCTAAATTGGTTTCTGACTCCTCATTTAATACTCTCCCACATAGTTCCTAATGGGAACCAATACTTACTCCTTCTTGCTATCTGACCTTTCTTCTTTCTGTACTTGTCTTCTCTTTGTAAAGTGCAAATACAGTTACCCAGAAACACCTCAGTGCTCTTGTGATGTAAGCAAAACCACCTGTGGTATGTTTCTTTTCTTTTAGTGTATTTTTCTTAACCAGCACAAAGCCTCACAAACTGTTCAGCCGACCATGTTGCTTTTGAGAAGCAAAGTATTGGAAGATAAAGGAGGGCCATAGAAATGCTAGGCCATCTGCGCCTTGTGTCTGGTATCCAACATAAGATGTCACGTTGTCAAATCTTAGCTCCCAGTTGTAGTCCCTGCCCTGCAAGTGCTGTCAGAAGAAAGCCTGGGGAGTTTTCCCAAACAAAATGTGGGCCAGCCCTTAACACTGCTACTGTACCAGCTTCTGTCAACTTATGTGGTCAGCACAGGGTATGTGTAGGCTGCCTGCAGCTTAGGGGCCATCTTTAGTGTCCATGAGGCAAGTAGCTACATCTGGATTGAGACCTGTCAAAAGAGATGAGCTTTAACACTCAGAGCAGCAGGATGAGGAGGACAAAGATAGAACTGCAAGGAGAGTACAGTTTTATGTTGTCCTTAAGTGCTGTTTATGTTGCAATATAACTTAAGTGCAATCCTTCAGCTCCAGAATCACAAAAGGCTAAAGATTCTGTGCTAATTAGTAATCTCTGGAGTCACACAGCTCTCTAATAACTACCTAGAGATCAAAGACATTTTATGTCTAGCATATTTTAATATCAAAAAAGAATTAATGTTGTAATTTCCATAATTAAGGTCTTGAAATTAGTATTTAGAAAAGGCCAATTTTTGTATGATGTTTCCTATCTAAAAGTATAATCAAAGTATAATCAAAGACCCACTGCCTATGTTTCTACATATGATAATTCCCATGTATGGGTGATGAAGAAAATAATGTGAAAGAAGAAAACTACAAACACAGTTTGTGGGAAAAAAAAAAAAAAAAGAAATTGTAAAGCTCATTTTCTTACACAGAAGTTTGAATACTGGTCAGAGAGCATTACAAAATACATTATGATGGCTAAAACAGTGTATGCTATCTGTGATTTGAAATAAAAATCTTGATTGTTTTAACCTCTACATGCTTTATTCATTACCATGGTGATTAAGTGTTATGATTCCAAGATATGGTTTAAATGGAGCGATGCAGAGCGTAGCATAGAGCCAGTTCTCAGCCACATCTGCGCTAAGCAATGGTTTTTATATCGGTATTACCCAAGATATTCATGGTGAGGTTTCTTCAAATCTCTCTTTTATATTTGTCTAGTATTTCCAGTTGCATAAACAATTTTCTCTCACATTGCTGTTGCTATTCTCCTTTATAAATTTCCCATTTTCACTGTATATGCTGCCTTGTATTTGCCTATAACTCCTAGATGTGTAATAACTCTTTTCATTAAAATAAGCCATGTTCTACATTACTTCTCAGAGATGTGTTAACTCTTCTGTCCTGCTACTTCTGTTTTACAGTATTGGTACAGTAAACACAGGCACTCATGAATTTAACTTAATGCCATCCTGCTGTGAAACAGCGAGATTAGAGGTGTGGATATTAGGGTCCGGAATAAAGAAATAAGATCAGCAAGCTATGTTCATGTTTTTTCTGAAAGATCAGTCTCTGGAGTACCTTTGAACATCATACTGGTATGCCCACCTGCCTTCTACCTTTGTAAGGCCTATGCAGGGAGTATTTAGGTTGTTGCAGGGCTAGGAGTTTGGTCTTAAAAGCAGTCTCAGGGATTCCTTCTGTAATTACTGAAGAACTACAAATCTGGTCCACCGTATCAGTCAAAATCTGAACACAGAGTTCTGTGTTGATGTTCCCAAGTCCTCCAGCAGTACTGTGGGCAAATATTTTGACTTCACGAATGGAGCTGATGGAATCATGTTTGACCCATGCATTCCAAGGAGCAAGATACTGTATGGCACCAATATGATTTTAATCACAGATGAAACATGAAATTGCCAGAATACATAATCTGGAAAGGGCTGAGTATTCCCAGTATCAAAAGGACAAAGAACACTATGAAAAAAAAATCAAAGCTCTATCAAATTTCACACAATGTAGGACAAGGGCTGTTTGCAACTCTACACAACTTAAACAGGAAAAAAGAAAAGTATTCTCCAGCTTTTACTGGTACAATTGTAAATTCCCCCAAATACTTGTACAGTTGTAAAATCGGCAAAATACTACTTCCATTTTGTCCCCTGGGAGATAAGTTTGAGAAAGCTCAGCCTGTATTTTCACTTTGCTGCACATTAGGAGAGGCTCTAGATTCCATTTACTATTTCCCTTCCTCTTGTCCACTTCCCTCACCCAAAATATCCTCTTAAAACAGTGTTTTCTTTTTGATGTTCAAACAACAACGCTAAACAATTGAAATTTTAAATAATGATTGAGGATTTTTTTTTATTCATTTAAGTTTCAGTATCATTACAGAAAATGTTATGGTACAGAGTTGTTTAACATCAGTTTTATTTCTTTGCTCATTTAATTTCCACACGAATGCTGGTAACACTAATATCTGTACAAGATCAGTCTTTGATTTTTTTTTTTTTTGTTTTTAGTTCTGTACATTTTTAAATGTATTGGTTAAAAAGGCTGTCAGCACTTAAGGAAGCAATTTTTTGATTGCTGAAATAAAAGGTATCCAGTTACTGCCCAAGAGTACTGAGCTGGGTGGCTGCTGGGACAAGAGAGATCCCTGAACGCACAGCGAGGTGAGGAAACCTCGGGGCTTCATTGGGTTCCCAGTGCAGCCACTCTGCTTTTGGCACTGTGCACATCAACACGAGATACAAGATAAAGAACAAGCAGAAGCTCTCTGTGAAGCGGTTATGAAGCATACTGATAAGGGAAATCCAAGTGTTGTCTACGCTAGTATAAATAAGCAGACAGCCTTGTTTTAAGAGCATAAGTAGTTGTATCTTAAAGATGAGAAAAAACACAAGTTCTGCAGGCACCTACTGCTGTCTACTAAAAGCTACCGCTATTAGAACTAGCATTGAACACACAAAGCAATTGCAAGGAAAGGAAAAAGTTGCTTTGATATAATCAGAATAAATTTCTTTGTTAAGATTTCTTTTTAAAGTTTTTTTTTAAAAGGTATTTATTTAAATTCCATTTGAAATATAATTCAAGATGTTGACTATACTGATCAACTTTTATCCAAATCAGAAAAACTAGCTGTGCCGTTGCATATTACAGGATACAGTCAATGATATGTGGACATGCATCAAAGCTTCGCTCTTGCTGGTGACATCATAGCCTTCCAATGACCATGACATCCACCACCTCCCCCTTGTGAAGCTCCACATACTGCTCTGTCTTTGGAGGTAGCATCAACAGTCCATTGGCACTGCGCATACTCATCAGACGACTGCTCATCTGATTCCCTACAGAAGGGTGAGAGAAAAAGTTCAGTTAATTTTTCAGTTAGTTAATTTCAAATGCCGCAACACACATGATAGGAAGCAAGAGCTGCTCTTGCAAAGATATGCTAACATATTAATGGAGCTCCATATATCTGTTCAAAGGTGGGTAGAAACAGACAATTATGAAGAGATTCATCAGCTTTCCATTGTTCTGGTTTTCAAAACTCTCTTTCCCTTGCTGATTACTTTCCTATCCAGCCTTCCATATTTTTTTCTGTTAGATCTTTACCTGTACTTCTTTTTTTTGTTGTTGTAAATTACTTTAATGTTGGAGTTTCTAATCCTACCAAAATTACTTAATTTTTCAATTTGTATATCTAGTTCAGATTATATGGAGGCTAAAACCAGCACAATCTAGAATTTTTTTAAAATATACCAACTCAAAAGAATAGGTTTCTTTGGAATATGAGCTATACAAGAGACCCTGGAGATAAAAAGTATAGTATTGGCTGTACTGCCAGAAAATGAAAATGCAGTAGAAAATCATGCCCTTTAGTTTCTTGGCTTTCAAACTTTTGGACTGACAGATAAATCATTCCAGTCTGCTTGAGCAAGGAAAGAAGTTATGTGGGACAAAACAGATAAATATTCAAATACAGTATTTATTTCAACTGCAGCTGAATATCCAAAAATATCCCTAGATAGCAAACATGATTAATAAAAGTCTTAGTCTGTGCTAAGAGAACATATACTGCTGTTTCTTCTTCTCCAGTTCAGTTAGAATCACAATTCGTTATTTGAATTGTTGCTATGATCCAACTTGTGTTTATTTAGTACAAAGAGTAAAAAGTAAATGTGCCTCTGAGTGCAAATAAGCACAGATGAATATTTACAAAAAGCACACAGTACATGTGTGTGTATGAAGGTGGATTATTCTGATAAAGTTTTAACAATGAAGTTGGTAAGACATAGCATGAATTTTAATATCATGACTGGGTGGCATGACTGTATACATAGATGTGCACAAGTCAGAAAATCAGTCTGCATGACAAAACTTCATGAAAATACATGTGCATGTGGGTTTGTTGTTTTTTTTTGTTGTTCATTTCTTCTAAAGCATGTATGGCAGACTGACAGGACCTGCGAGTGCATCTGTCAGTAGTGAAACAGGCACTAACCTGTACTCTGTGCCCAAGGTAGTGGTTCTTGGTGATGCCAAGTCAGTATGCACCGATGGTATTCTGGGCGGGGGTCCAATTTTACATCACATGATAACTGTAGAAGAAGCAAAGAAAGTCTGAAAATGTCACGTATTCAGTTATCACTGTCTAAGATAATAGAATCATCTGTTCAATCTTTCTTCCTTAATAAAGTCCTTTAAAAAACTTGCATTTCTAGGCTACATGGTGTCTAGAGCAAGATCAAAGGCTGCAGGAGGTAGAGACTGCACTATTTAAGGGAGATACAACTATGATATTACAATATCAAAGAGTATGCTGGAGTCTGCATGCATTAAGTGGAATATTCCAAAGCTGTTCTTTTACTGAGAGTTCAAAGATACTATCTCTCTGGAAAAAAAGCTTTATCATTTCTAGTCTCTGGCTCACATTTTGTACAGATAAAAAATTTATTCACATTCAAAGTACTGCTAGTCCTGACAAAAGGGAGATGACCAATCTTTGAAATGAAAAGACGTACAGGAGATGGCTCAAAATGAAATTTAATGGAAGCACACTGGAAAATATATGCAAACATGAGGGTCATGTTGGAGCATCACATTCCTCAAAACTGGAATGCTACAAATTGCTGTCTGTCTTACAACACTTTAGCCATCAGATAAAGAAAAAGATGGAGTACTGAGGAAGCATGTAAGAGAGACACAAGGGGATGAGCAGTAAGAGAAAAGTTTCTGGAATGCCAGGAACAGTAGAAAAACTGTAAAAGGTAATCTGTTCTTTGATATCTTCTTTAAAGCAAAAATAGGAGAATAACACATTTCATACAGATTCAAGACCAGTTATTAAAGAGCTACTGTATCCACCATTTCTTATGAGACTAGCATTAATAGTTTAAAGAATTTACATTGCTTAGGTGGAGGTATGTGGATTACTTATATAAAAAATCTGTTCAAGAGCAGAAAGACTTTGATGTTTGCACTTTTTGACACGGAACTACCTTACTCTTTAAGTATTTCCAGGTTACTCTCTATTTTTTACTTTTTTTAACCACAGATTAAAACAAACTTATGTTTTTAATAGTGAAGTGTTCTCCTTGCCTGACTGGCAAATGGCTGCATCTGTTATCTGTAAATCTTACTCCACTAGTTGGCCACTCACTTTCAGAAATTATGGGGCTGCATATTAACATCAACAGATTCAAGTCTATGTGCCTGTTTTCTGTGAAATTCCTTCAACTTGTCAGAATTGGCCTAGCGTTCAGATCCCCCAAACTTTCTGAGCTCGAACAGTAGTGTTTCAACAACTTGAGAGAACTTTCAAACACAGGACAAGCTTCTTACCCTGGCTTTGATAATGGTGGGCCGAGGATCTAGGATACCCTGCATTTTCCTCAGTGCAGGAACAACAAAGAGATTGCAGGTAACAACAGCTGATACAGGATTGCCTGTAGGACAAAGAATGGTGGTATTGAAAGAAAGAAAGAAGGAAAGAAAGAAAGAATGGTGGTGAAACCCTCTTGATTTACTCTGTGAAAGCAATATCCTATTTTTATAACAATCATACCCTAAAGATTCTAAAGAACTTTCCATGCTGCGTCCAACTGTCCACTTATGTCTGGGGTGGCATGTGGCTAGTAAAACTCCTCAAAGCTATACTCTCTGGCTAATGGTGTCCTGAAATTCTGCTCTGATCACAGCTGCTTTATGTTCCTCAGGCCCCACTATTTGCTTCTGTTCTCCTGCCATCTTTCTTTTTACATCTAGATTTATCTGAGGTGGGGCCAGCGCTCATTGTGCAGAGCTAAAAGTTCAAGCTCATGTATGAATTCATGATTTCCAATTCAAGGTTTCCAAGACCAATGGAAAAATAGGTATTATTAAATGACTTTCTATTCTCTAACAGAGTTGCAAGAAGCTTTAACATGGCTGTGGAGGAGAATTCTACTGCTTTATATAGTTTCTGTTGACTAAGAAGAGAGGTGTATAACTAACTTCTGTCAAACACCTCTCGTCTTACACATCTAGTCTTCCCTAAAAGGCAGTTCTAATGTAAATAATATGAGAGAGAGATTTCCATTATCTCTGACCTGGTGAAGCAGGAGAGAGAAACATGAAACAAAAAACAGTGGAGACATCTGAACATCACTAGCTAATCAAGAAAAGGATTCCTTGTTGTCAGAAATCTATGCAAAGTCAAAGCAAAAATTAAAATTAAGGGGACAGAGATTTGTAGATGGATTCCCAAATAAATATTTATTCTGAACTCACTGATTTCCTCCAGCATGCAGGAGGTGAAGCACTGCTGCCCTCTCATGTTCCAAAGTGTGAACATGACTAACAAACTTCCATTCTGTGACATATTCCTAGGCACTCTCTAGATCTCATCTCCACTTTCAATACTTTAGAGTGGATGTGCTGACATTCAAAGAATCTCTATCTGTAACGTGAAGGGAGCTGTGGGGAAAAACCACCCCTGCACAGCATGTTAACAAAAGCCAAGGGAATTGTTGGATGGAAAAAATCATAAGGCTTGTATCCCAACCAGCACATTCTGAGGACAAGAGTAAGAACACCAGATGTTCTTACATAGGTGTTGTGAAACATCACTATTCTGTTTCAGATCTTGTCATCTGTGCACAGCAACAAAAGTAATCCATAAAACATCTTACCTGGGAGTGCAAAGATTATTTTTCTTACACCATCAATATCCAGAGTTGCAAAAGTTGTTGGCAGGCTATGGAAAAGGAAAACTTGTGATCTGCACTGGAATTTGACTGAACTAACATTATTACATTATTATTTAAAATATTTTGGAAATAAAACAAATGGTCATTTTGCTTCTATTGAGAAAATATTCAAGAGTAGATGAATTAATACACACAAAAAAAATCAAATTCTATCTTACTGTCAGAAGCCATATCAACCAATAATTTATACCAAAATTAAACTGTTACAGAGCTGTATTTGTTTTTTATATAAGGCTCTCTCTGTTTTTTTTTTTTTGGTAACATTACTGACTCCGTTCCCTTTACTCTAGTGTATATATCAGGATTAACAATGGGACAATATCTCAGAGCAATTAGTCCACAGATGAACAAATTCAGATACACGGGTAGTACTGCTCCTGAAAATGATCTCCATCCAAGCTACCTCATTAAAAGATTTCTTACCCTGGTTTCATAAAAACTCTGCCAAAGTGAATCTGTGCATGAAGATCAATATCCAGCACCTGTTTAAGATAGTCCTGTTTAAATTATAAAAAAGAAAATCAATTAAGTAACATCAAAGTGGTTTACATCATCTAAGTGTTCAAAGCAATTAACTGATATCAAGTGAAGATGAAAGACTTGCTATATCCTGAAAGTGCTACAGTCCAATTGGGCATTTCCAGTATTTGAAAGAAAGTATTTTCAAAAATAAGACGTGAAGAACAGATTCATTTCTGGTGCCAAAACTGACTCCACAAGGACATAGTAATATATTTACTTAAAAGTCAGCTGCAGCAACAGAATCTTTAAGGACCCGATAAAGAGGCTACTAAAACATTGTCTGTCAAAGATGGGGGGGGGAAAAAAAAAAAGCCTTTGTGATTCAAAGTTAAGCCTTAAAATCATCAGGTTATTTAACTTTTTGCCACAGAAGCTATCCAGTGGCAGAGTAAGAGATCTCCTAGTACTTTTGAATTCAAGACTGCACTGTAGAAATCATAATTTTCCAGGATACTGTAATTACTGTAATTTCTTGGGGATGTGGCATGATTCACAGTGGTCAGGTTTAACTATCCTAAGTTTCTTAGAAAGGAAAAACTGTAGATAGCTTTTACAATAGTTCAAAAACAATTTGACATAAATACTATCGATCCAGTTAAGAAAACTGGAATTACATATTCAGTCTTCATCGAAAATTGCTATGCTCAAAGATTCAGTATACTATCTGTTGTGTTTAGTGAGACTTAAGACATAACAACCATCTGTTAAGACAGGCTTTTGAAGCAGTAAATCTGAAATTCCCATTTTTCTCTCTCTCTCTCTTTTTTTTTTTTTTGATTCAAATACTTGGAAAGCAGCAACTTTTTTTCAGCCAGGCGTGAATTCTCAGTTACTGATTGCATTAACCACATTTTTATTTGCTATTTAGCTTTTGGATGCTCACAGTTACTTCATTAAAAGTCCTGAATACTCAGTATCAGAGGGAGAACTGTCAGAGGAGTATAGGGCCCATTGACTTTATGCAGTTGCCTAAAATTCAGGCGAGGGAGAAGTTAGCCTGAATGTGTAAATGCCTGTGAGACCATTCATCAGTCTAGTTTCTTTCTAGAGTTCCCATGTCTGTACTAGGTCACCACACTCCCAATTTAAAGACCAGCACTTGGCCTTTAACATTTTTCTAGGAATACTGAGAGGAATAATGGAATTTAAAGTAATTGGAACTGGTTTAATTTGTTAATCATTTCCATGATGTATCCAACAATATGATTTCTACTCAGAAAAGTGACAGAAACAGCACTCATGTTTGTCATCTCCTAATGGCTGACTTTAGTATCTGTAATTTATAAAAGGAGAGATGTTTCTTTTACCTGCCAAACTCACAGATTCAGTCTGGGATCAAAAAGTAATCTGAGTTTTCCTTCGCATAAGTCATGATTAATAAATGTCCTGCAGGTTCATCTACGCCCCACCAGCATCTGTGTATCCCTATTTTCTTTGATGGTTTTGGCACAGGGATTACCAACAGGAACTCAATCAACAATTCTGTTAATGATTCAAAAGGCAAATATATCAGCTCACTGTGTCTCATATGTATTGCCTCTGTAGGACTATCAGGAGTAAAATGTGATAAATCTATTTTTGTAACAGATAGAGCTCTGGCACATATAGGAAATAGATATACTGAATAAGAAAGAACTATTTATATACTTAGCTGCTTTTCAAAGTACTTGTAAAGTAGCTTTATTCTATGTACATTTTACCTGCTCTAAGAGTAGAAAGAAGTCTCTTGTCTTCATGTGCTATTAACCTATCACCTTTGTCATCATAACTATATAAATAATTCCTTAATTAAAAAAATGCAAATCACATCAAGAATAAGAATCTCCCCTTTTGTTCTATGCCTACTATAGTACAGTAATAAGAACAAATGAAATGAAAATAGTATTGAAGGCTATTTTCTTAATTATTCACACTTAAATGTTCAAAAAAAGAAAGGAAGGAAGGAAGGAAAGAAGGAAGGAAGGAAGGAAGGAAGGAAGGAAGGAAGGAAGGAAGGAAGGACGGAAGGAAGGAAGAAAAGAAAAAGAAAAAGAAAAAGGAAAAAGAAAAGGAAAAGGAAAAGGAAAAAGGAAAAGGAAAAGGAAAAGGAAAAGGAAAAGGAAAAGGAAAAGGAAAAGGAAAAGAAAAAGGAAAAGGAAAAGGAAAAGGAAAAGAAAAAACCCCTTTTTAGAAAACTTTAATACAAAAGCAGAAGCTCTGATGACAGACTCTGGTTTGAAATTCTTATAAATATTATAGTAAGTTATACTTAAATTTAGCATACCTTTTCTCCCATAGACACGCCTCCTGATGTAATGATCACATCAGCACGGCTGATACCTTCATTCAGTGCATTCAGTAAATCATCTGGGCTACATAAAAGAAGACGTAAGCAGATTAGTGGCACACAGCTACTACAGGTTACAGTGTAAGCATATCTGTCCACAGATTTAGGTGTATATACACACACCCACTTTAAAAAGGAAACACAACCAAGATAATACTGGGATCTTATCCTTCTGAAGACTCCACACTGCTCTATTCATCTCATGCACCGCAGCTGTATTAAGCAGACACTACAAAGGTTGCCCTCTTTCTACCCAAGAGCTTTGTATAATGAATGGAGGGATAGCATAGGTTGGGACTGAAGAACACCAATACAAGTCTATAAACGCATGACATTTGCACAGCTGGTAGCAGTGCAAATTACGATTTAGGTCAACTGACAGGTCTATGCAGAGGGACCTGACCCATGAAAATTACTGGCCACCAAGCAGGCTGCAGTACTACCTAACTTATTTGATGTGTGTAAAAATGGGTGTAAGGCTCCACTTCAAACCTCCATCAGTGCAAAGTGGGAGTAAATCCTTTGTTTATCTCCCCCTCTTGAGGATTCTGCAGCAAAGGCAGCTGTACACCTACATCTTGAAAAACCATAATCCATCTTGTTCAAGTATGTATTCTTCATGAGAAACAGTAAGCAGAGGGCTGTCATATTTCTTCATAAAATGAGTATAATTGCAAAGATGAAGATGAAGGATAAAAACTAACTGCAACACTTTCGGTGTCTTAAAAGTCTTTTTTTAAAATCTAAACTGAAATTGTAGTTTTCAAGTTACTGTTACCTATCTAGCAAGATTGCTGTGCTAACAGGAAGCTTAAAGGCATGTGAGGAGAAACTCTGTAGCATAAATTATAAAAGAAGGCTGAGGGAAACCAACAAGACATTAAATGTGTACTTTGCATTTAACATTTGTGAACTGACCAGAAGCTAACCTATTGCTAGGACTGTACGTCATGTTCCTTCAAAAGCATCAAAAAGCACAGATCCTGAAAATAGTTTTTGAGAGGCTATTCCTTATGTGAATGCTGTTCAAAGAAATGGCAGTAATACTAATGACTGTACAAAGGAATTAATCTGGAATATGGGGTCTCAGTTATCACATTACAATTACAAATAACATCTATGTGTTATCAAGACTTTTTGGGCAAATGGCATGTATGCTATACGTGGTTAACTTCTGCTATGTGTCAATACAAAATAGTATCACCACAGTTCTTTCGGAGACTGAACTGGAAACGGGAAAATCAAAAATACTGTGTAAGATCTGGTTGACCTTTCAGAGAGACTAATAAAATGTATGTTCCAAGAGGTTTCAGACAGAGGAAGCTTTTTCTCTGCGCATCTTGTCTTTGCCCATGGCTTGCTAAAATATGATTTATGCAGTACTTAGCATATCTTGGTGCTGCATGCACAACATTTTATGTCATACAAGGATAACTCTCTCACTGAGTAAATAACTCAAGTGCACGCAAACCTGCACACTCATCTGTTCACCAGAGAACTCATAAGCTTTTTCCACCTCTGTCATCTTACAGGCAGAAAGACTTCAGAACCTCTTTTCTACCATTTCCAATTAGTTATGCAGCATTCCAGTTGGCATCACATGTGATTATGCTGCACAGCTTTTCTATGTAATAGGGAAGCTCTGAAAATAATGCCTCCTATTTTTATGACGTCAGCCTACAATGTCAGATGTCAGTAATATGGCAGTAGGGTTGAAACTTCCCACCAATACTCTGTTACATTTTATTGCTGTGAGACAGATGGCAGCAGAGGGACAGTCTGACTAAATGGTGTCTAACATGGAAGTGTGTATGTATCAAAGGTCTGGCAGTTGAATTCCTCCATTTGGAAAAAAATGGCACCCACTGACATTCACTGATGCTTGCTGAACATCTGTGGAGCCCAAACAGTAGATGTAAGCACAGTGAGGTGGTGGGCAGTGTATTTCAGCAGTGGTGGCAGTGACAGTGGGTCAACTCCACTGTTGCAGATTTTGAGGAGTGGAGCATACATGCTTTTGTTCATCACTGCTGAAAATGCACAGCTGATGGTAGAGACTGTGTTGAACAAGAGCGTTTTGTAGCTTAGAATCTGCTCTATCAAATAGCATTATTGTTCTCTTTGTACCTGTTGAAATTTCCATGAAAATAAATAGGAGACATTACTTTTGGAGCAAGCTATGTATGTATGTATCCACTCCTTAGGTGCATCTCTTTCTAAGAGGTAGGCAACAAGCTACAGTAGAAGGAAAGGCAAATTACTAGTGCGATAGTGTTGGCTGTAATCAGTCAGCTATAATGCAATACTGCCATTTTTTAAAGGAAGGAGTGACTATACATATTGTGGCACGACTTCAGGATTTGTATAATGTGTTACATGGCAAGTTGTTTTAGGTTTCTGCATATCTTGAATGCTCTAACTAGCCTTTAAAGGGTTGAACTCCATTTTCTTTGGGGGAAACATAAAGCATACAGACTCAAACAAAGTATCTTCTTTGTTCTTTATGAAGCAGAAACATTTTCTCAGCTGCCCTTTCTGAAATTTCAGGATCATTTCATCCAAAACCAGCACAAATCTTCACTAGTTATCAAAGGCAGTAAGAAAAAATAAGTCTTGTTGGCTACTGTTGGTGTCCTCTTCAGAACGAATTGTTTCATACTGATGTTCTAGAAGTGCTCTGTATGTAGTGAGATATTGCTTAAGATTACTATAGAGTTTGTAATAAGAAAGGTCTATCAATAATCCGTATCTTCCTTAATCCTTGACAATGATGGTGCAGGCTGGTATGCTTCAGGGAACACACACATTCTTTATACAGGTGGATATAGGCCTTCCTTAAACACAGTGACAGCCAGATACTCATGGCATTAGTCTTAGGTTAAGACTGTTTTAAGTTTAGTTTTCTCACTACATTGTGATGCAGGTGAGAATCTTATCTGGAGTTTGCTCCAGGCTGTTTCATTTGATCTTGCTTAATTATTTAAAGGTTATTCATAGGAAGCAAGACCACCTGTTTGAGGAGATCCTAATTCTGAAGTATGAAGTGTACTTGCTTCTGGTTGTGGTTTGAGAACACTGAAAGGAATAGTATAAAGCAAACAAGTCTATATTTAATTGCTGTTAAATAGAATGGAAGTGTTCCATATATACTGAATATGTACTGAATTATAAATTTATAAAATATAAAATTGCTTACCAAAGGAGGAAACTAAAAACAGTATAAGCCCAACCTCAAATCAGGGGAAGGCTTTGTTTATGAAAGTAGCATACCACTGGAGTAGATAATCATAGAGGTTTTTTTTAATTACATGCCATATAAAGGTGGATTACTGGACTTAATTTTTTTTTTGACATTTCCAGTAAAATGTCCTGTATAGTAGATCTCTTTCTTTACCACATGTGAAATGTGAAAAACATTTCTAAAATCTACTACTACTTCCAACCTACAGCACTGTATATCCTCTTCAGTTTGTTGCAAATTCAACTGGATTCCTTCAAATGAAAGATAAGAAATATTATAATAAACTGAATGATTATGCTAGGGTTTTGTTGTTTTTTGTTGTTTTTTTCCCCGCCATAAAATACATATAGAGAATTTCAGCCCTTGTCTTTGCAAGAAGCATCTCTCTTTCTCTTTATTTGGCATAGTTTTCTTGCTTAAGTCCCTTGAACCTTCTTTATATCCTACTCGAGGCTGGTATTTTTACTTCCTCTGCAGTTAATAATACCAGGCACTCTCTTGAGTGGAGTAATCTTCAGTCAACACAGTAGCAAACATTTTCTTTGCATTAGTGGAGTTAATGGAGAGAGTTACCATTCAAATTGCACACTAACATATATCTGATTATCAGATAAAAAGATCTGACTCCTCATTTCACTTGTTGCATAAAAAATGAGCAGCTCTCCATATTGACATGGAAATGGAATAAACTGAAGACTATTAACTTCTGGAAGAACAGAAAAAATAATTTTGGTATCTGAGCATACATGACAAGATTGTTCTAATGGGCTTGTGACAAATCACCACAAAGCTGAGAAGTAACACTCACTATTCAGAAGCTTTCTTCTGAAACTCTGGCCGTTGCTAGGGACAGGATACTGGATTAGCTAGACTAATGGTCTAATTTACTACAATAAATCCTTAAAAATGTCTTCTGAAAGTGCTATTCTTGTATTATTATTATTTTTTTTCCCATGGACAGAATTGTAACAGGTGCTCAAGCTTATGCCTTAATCAGGGTAAAGGAGATTTGATGGGAAGACTAGTTTCCAGATGGCAAAATTCTTCTGTTTCATTTGGTGATTTTCAAAGTCGAAGTGACATTGTGAAGAGTGTGCGCTTCTCTATCGTGATGGAATTGATTAAAGAAACTATACTCTGTGTGCTTCAGATTACATCCCAGCATCTTCTGTAAATACAATGAAGAAAATTGTTCTATAAGGGTGACATGCAGTTTATGAAACTATTCATATAGGTCAGTAATTACAAACCCAAACTGTCTCTCAAAAAAGGAAGAAATCTCCATCTAAAGCAGACTGTGTCTAGGCTGCTGTGAAATTAACGCCTCCTAACTACAATGATACAAAGAGCACAATAACACTACTCGATACAGTAAATTCTCAGCTACAAAATAATACTTTTCAACAGTGACCACTATTACCTATGCATGCTTGCCAGCAATAAACAAGAGCCTGTATGCTGCTCTCATAAAAATCTGATGGCCATCCAGGATACAGCTTGTCTAACTGTGCTCAGACCTACTGCTTGGTCTCCATAAATGTTCAGCAAGCTTCAATGAATGTCAGTGGGTGCCATTTTTTTTCCAGATGGAGGAATTCACTGCAGCACCTTTGCCTCATCCACACTTCATCAGACACCATTTGGTCAGACTGCCCCTCTGCTGCCATCTGTTTCACAGCAACAAAATGTAGTGGAATATTGGTGGGAAATTTCAGCCTCTACTGCCATAACACCACCATCTGACTCTGACATAGTGGGCCAACATCATAAAATAGGAGGCATTA